GAGGCCTAGGCCCGAACTATAACTTTTTAACAACTGATAATAAGCCATGTGTATAACAACTATAACAATTTTTTAATTAATAACTAGAATCAATAATTTCAATTATCTTTTATCTTATCATAAAATTAATTTTGACCAATAAGAATAGAACAAGCAGTGACGCAGCTAGGATTTTAAATCAGGAGGGCCCAATTTTAAGTGTTAAATAACAAGTTTGTAATTATGTAGACACGCTCATTTCATATAAAGTTGTGTTTACTTATAATTATACATATTAATGTGTGTACCTTCAAGTTTCTATAAGAACTTAGAATCCGTATCACCCTCAAACTTTTTTTTAAGAAAAAAATGAGATTTCGTGTATTTATAATTTAAGTTTAAGATCTATAATTGATGAAAAATAAGTTTTTTTTTGTTCAAAAATTAATTTAATTTGAACACATTGCATATCATTTTTGTTGATTAGAGCTTATCAAATGACCATTTTTTTAATGAGAAATTTACACACCTTACACATAATTTGTTAAATAATATCAATAATACGAAAGTGTTAACTTGTAATCAAGAGTACGGGATTTCTATTTCAACGGTTTTTGTATTAAATCACACAATTAATGATGATATTTCCTGCATGATTCTCGGGAAATCTTCCTTCCATACTTAACAGTAAATCAAGAAAAAAGGGATTTGTTTTTCTCTCCAAAAAAAAAAAAAAAAAAAAAAAAAAAAAAACTATCTTCTCAACAATACAAAAATTACTTCTCAATCTATCTTCTCCAACAGCAAAAAAACTGCTTCTCAGTCCCGAAATCTTCAATGGCCAAGAGAAGAAAAAATGAGGCCAAACCAGTCAACAATGAAGACGAATGAAGTGAATTCCGACGGAGACGACGATTTTTTGTCCGAACCCAAAATCAAACAATAAATAAATAAAAAATTTGCCCGATGCCGTGATGAAGTCGAGGGTTAGAGAAAACAGGGGTAAAGGCAAGATTTTTTTATTCTTGAAGGGACATCTCAGTTTTTGTGTGGTTATACATTTTCTCATGTTTTAGACGTTTGCATATGTATGAGACTTAAGTTGTTTATATCTCGTTCATTTATCTTTTAAGTTAATGTTATTCCAATATGTCATATTTTTTTAGAATCTCTATCTGAATGTCAAAGTGTATTAAGTTTATCTTGTTTAAAGATTGTTTATATGTTGATTATCTTTGGTATAACTATACATGTAAATTAATTGAATTTTGCATACATTCTCTCAAATTTGTCATGCTTATATGTTGATTATCTTTTGTATAACTATACATGTTTTGCATACATTCTCTCAAATTTTTCATGTTTATATGTTGATTATCTTTTGTATAACTATACATGTATTGCAGACATTCTCTGAAATTTGTCATATTTGTTTAACGAATGCATACATTTATAGTTATGCATTCGTTAAACAAATATGTTTGTTTAACGAATGCATACATTTATCATATTTGTGTATCTAATGTATGTTTTGTCTAATTATCTACACAGAGAGTTAGTTGCCTCCGTGTTTGAAATTTGTTCAGGACATGTTTATCTAATGTATATAAGTAGTATATCTAATCATAATTTCTTCTGGTCAGAGGAGATTTCACGAACAACACTATTTCCTTTCCCAGACGATCGGTGCCTTTTTATTTCAGCTAGATGGACGAATTTTTTATTTATTTATTTTTTTTTTTACTGCAAGAGGTCGATGAACACAAATACCTTTTGAAATTGTGAATTCATGATACCTTGTTAATTTTTTTTTTCGAATATCCATTTTTTTAGGTTATTGATTGCATATTTATTAATTATAGTTATTAATTTGGAGAGAGAAACAACTAACTAGGTGGGAGAAAACAATGTCGAAATTGATTGCATGTTTATTATGTTGGAGAGAGAAACAAGAGAAAACAATTTCGTAATTATGAAAAAAAGTCAGATCATAATCTTTTTTTGATTTAAGTTTATGCGAATAGTAATTGTGTAAATATATGGTACATGGGGTTTATATATGTAAATTTCCCTCAGAAATTCCAGCCACATTAAACTCTTACATTTTTGTTCAACATCATTAACCACTGTCACCATGCTCATTCTCTTACTGTTGGAATTATGAAGTTTTTTCTACAAAGAAAGTGAAGTGAAGCAATGAAAGGCAGTGCATGGAATTTTACTGCATGTGTTTTATTTGTTTGTCATTTTTTTGTTTCTTCTAAGAGTTGCATATCACTTATAAGCTCGCGTTTTATCGCGTCCTTTTCCTCTTTTATTTTTCTGCATTTATTTGGCACATGCCTCCCCTTTGTTGGAGCACGTGTATGCTTTGTACTGGTCATTATGGCCAAACATGAACTCGTCGTGTGTAATTCTGAGATCTGAAATTAGTTGAACGTTTTACAGAGCTTCGAGCTAAGAACAAAAATGGCGTTTTGATTTTTTGGCTTTTATGTGTGAATTTTCCTTGAATCTAGATCTCAGCTTTCTCTACATGGTATCTAGAGCGGGTCACTAAATCTTAATGGCGCACGTCGATGAACAAAATCGAGAAATCGTTGGAAGGCACACATACACTCGCGACATAGATCCTCTTTCTCTTCATGGATCGGATCATCCTGGATTGATATTGGTCACCAATTTACTCACCGGCGGAAACTACCTACACTGGAGTCATGCTATGAAGCTTGCACTGGGAGCTAAATCTAAGCTCAGCTTTATCGATGGATCTGTTGTTATTCCAGAGCAAGGATCTGAAGAATTCGCTCAATATAGAAAGGTACAGTCTATGGTCATCTCTTGGATGCTTAACTCAATTTCTAAAGATATTGTAGAAGCATTCATTTATGCTAAAAGTGCAAAGTAACTTTGGGATGAATTGGCCGAACGATATGGAGAAAGCAATGGACCTCTCAAATATCAGTTGCAGAAGGAAATTGCCACATTTTCTCAAGGTTCACTCACAGTTACTGCATACTATACGAAGTTGAAATGCTTGTGGGATGAGTACTCTTGTGTTACCACTTTGCCTGAATGTATATGTGGAACCATGAAAGCTTTCAATGATATTGATATGGAAACAAAGCTTATGCAATTTCTTATGGGGTTAAATGAGGTGTTTGAGCCGGTGAAAAACCAAATATTGTTGATGGATCCATTGCCTACCATAAACAAAGCCTATTCAATGATTTTGAAAGTTGAAAAACAGAAGAGTTTGGCCAGTGGAGTTCTTAATCAGATGGAAACTTCAACTATGTTGGTAAAAGGAGGATATGGTAGAGGAAATGACAGAGACAGGGGCTTTATAAAAGGTGGAAGAGGTTTTACAGCACAATCAACAAATATTGGAGGAAGGGGAAGGGGTGGTCCAAGATTAACTAAAGAAGGAAGAGCAAAATTGTATTGCACTCATTGTGGTTTCAATGGCCATGAAGTCAAGGGATGCTTCAAGATAAATGGCTACCCGGATTGGTATAGGGAGTTGAGGGAACAAAGGCAGTCACAAAATGTGAACATTGCAGACAAAGTTGAATCCTCAAGGTCCTCAGTGGGAGATTCAGAAACTAAGTCACAACATAGTGATTCAATGGTTGATATAAGTTCATTAATTCAAAAGGAAGTGGCCAAATATATGTCAAATCAGCAGGCATCAGAAACTCATACATATTCACATTTTGTAGACCATGCTGAAGAAATGGAAGATTATGCATTTTCTCTGGGAAATAAATTTAACAAAAGGGGCTGGATCATTGATACTGGGGCTAGTAAGCATATTTGTTGTGATATTGAGA